TCCATTGCCGAGAGGTAAGACAAGGGGGCAGGATTGGATTGGGTGATTCACCTGTACCTGACCTGGGACCGTCAGTTCAGTGGAAACAAAGTTCTTGACTCTTGTTTCTCCTGGCTGGACTGTGGCATCCACAGCAATGTATTCAGGAGGACAAAGAAGAGGCCAGAATTTACCCTGTCCTGCTCATGATGGCTTGCAGTACTGAAACCAGAAACATAGTTTTCAGGGGCAGGTCAGGTAAATTTGGCAAGAAGCTTTATCTGTAGGTTAAGCAGGAAAAGGGAATTGCAGGATTACCAACTGGAGACAGTGTCTATTAAGGAGCAATGAATATAATTACTTGTATATTTTAGGTTATTTTTAAAGCAAAATATAACAGTTGCAGAATCATTGCACGCAATTCACTTGTTTGAAACAGTATTGAGAGAGCTACAAAACCAGTAATTCTGAGTTGTAACAGCAGAGCGGTGAGTTCAGTAGCTGTCTGAAAACTTTAGTTCACTGCTGCTTTAATGAAAGCTAAAAAGGGAACACTTAAGCTGAGGTCTGTATATGGCTAATGTCACCAGTGGACCTCATTTCCACAGCCTGTTACTTCAGGAAAGTGCCATGTGGTGTTTAGAAAAGAGAGAGAGATGGAAGTGACCAAAAGGAATGTCACCTGCAGTGTCAGGTGCTAATTAGGATGCATGTTTGAGAGACATCAGTGCTCAAGATTCATTAGTAGCTAGAAGTTAGGAATAACCTGCTTCTGAAAGGTTGTAATTGCAAAATAGCTTTGGGATTTTTTTAAATCATCTTCGTTTGGTGCATCTTGTCACAGCGACTACCAAGGACAATTCCTGTATCTTACTAGAGCAAAATGTGGGTACCTGTGAGAAATGTCTTACTGCTTTTCCTCAACCATTCTGGTGGGGAGAGAATAAAAATAAACCAAGCACACTTGCTGGCACTTTGAAATTGGGAAGGCAAATGCAGAAAAGTATTGATTTCAGTCAGAGGCCTTTGCCTTTCTTATTTTGACAAGTGGCATTTGCCAGTCACTCCTTCAGTCAGCCTTTCTTTCCTTCATTTAGTCAGGCTGCAGACTGAGTGAAAATTGGTGCCGTATTGACTTAGTGAGAGACCCATTTGGTAGCAGACATTAAGGAGAATTAAACCTATGGCTTGAGTTTAAGCTTCAGCAAAGGCCATAATGGGCTTTGTTTTGCTACTTGCTTTGATCTGTGTGAGAGCACTAAATATTACGGTTCAATAATGCTGCTTTACAGCTGCAAACCTTCATGATTGCAAAGCCAGAACAGTTCTGATTAGCTCATCTTCTTGCTGATTAAATGTAATACAGGGCTGTTCTTCATGTACCGTACTGCAGACAGTACTGTAGCAATGCAGCTTTCCTCCTGTGCATTCTTGTAGTGTTTTTGGAACGGGGGAGAAACCTGACAGAAAAGGCCAAGAGGCTCTCTGGCTTCCTCTTCTGCAGCAGCACAGTGCATGGCATGTACCACGCACCTGACCACCATTATCTTGAGGAAGGAGCTCCTTTCTGACCTTGTGCTGTTAGGAGTGAGAGCAGACAGCCCTCCCATTTGTCTCCTAGCAAGTGTAGCTAGAGAGAGCATGCAGAAGCATCTAATCCATTTTTAAGTCTTCATTTCTTGCCTGAAGCAGGCAGTTGTGCTGGAGAATTGTGCACTGTAAAACAGCGTGTTAACTATGCTTGTACAGTGCTTGCCTTGCAGGTCTCTGGTTCCTGTCACTGTTTTCCCTGTGAATATAGGAAGTATAAACATTTAAAAGGAAACAAATGCTGGATTTGATGGAAAACTAGACGTGAATAAAAGTATTTTTAAAAAGCCACAATGTGTGAAAATTCTGCCTCCTGGTTAAGGAAAATTAAAGCTGTTCTTTGTTAGATGCCTTCTGTCCTTGTGCTTGATGTCTCCACTTCCAAGAATTGCAAGAGCACATTTATAAATGGTTGCTATTCTGCACAATAAAATTGTAAAACAATTTCTTTCAGGTACAAAGCTCAGGGGATAAGTGCAAAGAAATCCGTTGACTCCACGTTCTACCTTCTGCTAGACTTAATCACGTTTTTTGATGAATATCACGCTGGTCACATTGACAGGGCCTTTGATGTAAGTTTCAAGAGTTCTGTTTGAAGTGCAGCCTTCCTAATGCCCTTGAAAGCCCAGAATGTCGCAAATAACATCACTTAAAATAAAAAATTATATTTAATGGGTTAGAAGGTGCTTCTATAGGAATTTAAAAATGTGTTTCTTCCCTGTTGTTTGATAATCACGAAGATCTTCCTGGAGCTATTTTGTAGACATTGATAAAAATATATCTGCTACTCAACAAAGTGAGGAGATAAAACAATAAACAACAAGGAAACTATTTCTCTTGAATGTAATCAGGAGCATTTCATTAACACTTCAGAAACATACTTTATTAGTATATGGTACATAGAATGTTGATTATCTACCCTGATTCCTGCTTTTCTTTTTGAAGATTATTGAACGCCTAAAGCTTGTACCTCTTAGCCAAGATTGTGTAGAGGAGAGAGTTGCTGCCTTCCGGAATTTCAGCGATGAAGTAAGTAATGTCTCTTGGTTTTAGCTTGCAAAAGCCTTTTACTTTGTTAAAAGGGTCTTAAAACCTTGTCACCTCATCATTCTTATTCTTGAATGGAGAAATAGGATGGAATTATTTTGCATTCGTACAAGTAGACTCTTGGTTTGCAACTTTTTCTCCTTACTGCTCTTTGGAGCACTAGAATTCCCTACCCAGAAATCCTGTCTCCATTTTGCAGAATACATCTGCAGATCTGAATCTCTCTGAACTTACTGAGTTTGATTGAAGAATTCAGAATATTGAAAACTTTGAACTGCACTGCTGACTTAGTTCTTCCATGCTTTTAATGATCATCAAGCATTTATAGGGTCTTTTGTTTCCTTCCCTCCAAATTAGAGGAACTCATGTATTTGGGTATTAGCAGATGAAACATATGAAGCATAATGGAAGGCTATTATTGCTCTTGAACTGTTTTAACTGGAGGGTTACACTTCTCTTTTAGACAGTGTTTGTGTGTATTTGGGTGCTTTGGATTTTTCTGTATTCAGGCGCTTTGGGTTTTATCTGAACTGTTGCTATCAAACATGAAGGTGCAGCCATTATGCATGTCTGTCTCAAAACTCCGGGTAACTTTTTTGCCAAGTGGTGCAGTCACAGCAGGGGTAGCCATTTAATATATGACTGTTGATACTTACTCATGGAAATATCAACCATAGTTATCATTGCTTCATTTTCTGAGGTCATATAACAAGAGTAATGATTCTGTCAACCTGCTCTTCATTGCAGTATGTCTTTTTTTTTTTTCCCCTCCTTGTGTAGATCAGGCACAATTTATCTGAGGTCCTGCTTGCAACCATGAATATTTTATTCACCCAATATAAGAGGATGAAAGGCACAAGCCCAGCCACTCCTGCCAGACCCCAGAGGGTAATGGAAGACAGAGATTCGGTAAGATTGTAATCCTTGCTGTCTGACAAGATTTCCTACTTCTTTTTTTTTCTCCCCTGATTTCAAGGGATTGGACTTCAAATAACTGAATCTCTAATGGTCTTCGCTTTTGACTTGCTTAGTTACTTAGTCTTAGACTACTCAGCTTGCTCTGTTACTTAGAGTCTTGAGGCTAGTCTCTCATAACTTCATCTTTGTGTAAAGAAAGGATTTTGGTCTAAACGGCATTGAGCTAACTAAGATATATTACACTATATATCTACCTCCTAGCAAGAGGAAAACAAGTCAAGTGTTCAGTTTGCTTCTTGGTGGGATCTTAAATAGTTAGCACATGTGGACGCTGCAGTGTCTCCAGGATGGTTGGTGTTGCTGCCTTGACAACTGAGCTGTTGTTTTTCAAGAGCCTGATTTCCACTCCTTTCATTTGAGTTAGTGCCCTGTTCGTGTAAAAGTCATTTCTGGTGGAAAGGCCTTCCTTGAGTCCTCTCCTTGGCTTGCTTCTGTAGTGACACGGACATGGAGATTTTCAAAGTGTCTTGGGCAATACACCCAGATGCTCAAGTACATTCAGTTGGTGAATGGCTGTAGCAGTTTGCCAGTGGTGTTCTGCTGCCTCTGCAGCAGAATGGGGCAGCTTCCAGGTGTGGTGGTGCTTGGTCTGGCTGCCTGGTTTAAATGGCTGACAATGGTGGGTTTGACTTCACTGCTAGAGTAGGTGCTGAAGCATTTCCCCCATCCACTGACAGGAGCCTATGCCTTCAGCAAGCCTCAAAATAGGCGCCACTTAAAGGGCACAGCCATATTTGTGGGCACTTGCCTGTCAACATGCTGCATTGAGCAGGAGGGTTCTCAGCTTAGCTGTCATCATGTTTGGGCTTGTAGCTCTTAAAGCTGCCACAGGCACTTGAAAACCAAGGCCAAAGACTCATCCTGTCTTACAGATTAGGAAATAAATATCAACTCCTTTTGAGAATGAAAACCAACTTGGGCCACAGCCAGCTTTATTCCAGGCTTTAGTCATCTGCAAAAGCGCCTTTGACCTGTAAATTGCAATATTGGTAAAAGTCTTCCCTTTTCTAAATCATATCAGAAGATGTAAAGCTCAAGTAATGATACAGCTTTTGTCTCTGGAGTGCAGTCTGTATGTGAGCTAGAGGATCCTGCCTTGCAGCTGTGCTTGTACTCCAGATCAGCAACATTGGAGAAGTATGCATGCTGCTTGGGCTTCTCCCACCTTAAATTCTGCACATGTGAAGTCCCAGGCTAACACAATCTGTTACCTGCTCCGTGTGTTCATAAGGTTGCCACTGAGCAAACAGCCTTAGCTCCTTGCTTTCCAAGTGAGCTGTTTATTTTGGTTTTGTGATTTCAGTCTTGTGCCTTACGCAGAAGCATTTACCATCTCCATAGGGGTGTAATGCTGTCAGGTGTCATCTCAGTATGAATACCATGACTGTGGCCTACCAGAGATTGTTGGGGTGATTGATGATGGGATCAGCAGCTTTGCTGGCAGGAGTTTGTGTAGAAGGAAGCCACCATGACATCGTATCCTATCAACAGCATGCCTGTTAACCAGCACGCTCAGTGTGAGCGTGCTTCATAAACATCCTCTGTACTCTCGTGCTGTTACCGTTGTGGAGATCAGCTGATGATGTACCTTGCTAAAAACCCTTGAAAGTTTTCTTTTTTCGAGCTTCAAATTTTGTTAATCAAGCTTCTGGCCTTGTGGTGGGATCTCATGGCAGCAGGGTATCAGTGGTGTTGGAGACACTGTTTTTGAGTCATGGATCTCTGGCTGCCGTGTGCAATAAAAGCTGTGCTTAACCCTCAGAGTGGGCAAATGCCTGCTGTCTGCAGTCAGGGAGGTGACAAGAGAATAACTATGTGACTGTAATGTCAGAAGGGAGCAATAATCTGCTAATGTAGGATTAGCTAGAGAGAAAAAACCTAGTAGCTCCCAGCTGCCTAAAGATTTGCATGCACAGAAAAATACCAGGCATGGGCACATGGAAGGTAGGGTAATAATAGTTTTAGCCTGTGTTCCCCTTTTTTCTTACCCTGAAGTATTTTCTCCAAGGCTGCAGGAGCAGGGAATCTAGATCACTTCGGTTTCCCTGTCTGGAAAGCAACTTGGGGCATTTTAGTGGTGGGAAGAAATGAGGACATTTCAAATGTGAGAAGTGGGGTGTTTCTTCAGCAAAATCTCCCCGTTCATCTGATCAGAGGCAGCAGATATGAGCTTCTGTAGGCTATGCTTGGCAAGAATTTTTCTTCTGAACTTCCCTGGGAGAAAGGCAGCTTTTCCTTTTTCCATGGGGAAGCAAATTTTAGGGAAAACTGGGCTCTTCCAGAAGCTTTAACAATCTCAGTGCATTGCCCAGTAGACAGTGCAAGTGAAAAATGACCCTTCCTTGAAATAGGTCTTTGAAATCCCTGGGTTTTCTCTAGATCCATCAGAGCAGACAGATTCAAATCACTCTGTTCATCGGATGGATTTGAAAACACAAGATAGTAGCTGTTTGTAAGTCTGAGGCTTATTGCACTAGCCGGGAACAGAGTCCCCCAGAGTAGGAACACACGGCTCTTGAATTTGCCCTCTGGTTCCAAGCACTGGTCTGCTGACTGCCCTGAGCGGGATCCTGCTGTAATGGGTAGGGAGTAGAGCGGCTTTGGCAGGAGCAGTGTGGACCCGCCAGCAAGGGCAGGATGGAGAGGAATAGTACCTCTGGAGCCCCCTGAACCCAGTAATGCTCTCTGCTAGAACATCTCCTGTCCCACTTTGGAGATGAAATGGGCTTTATTTAGAAATGATCAGGTTTGGAGTCAGAGCTGGTGTCTTATGCATTTTGTTTATTTCAGAATGAAATTACCTAAGCTGTGTTTTGAGTCTTTTTTTTTTTTTTTTTTTTAATGTATATATATTAATTAGTTTTGGGAATGAGGGAGCAAAGTCCTGTCCCACTTGGCCTGATCCATTTTGTCAGACTTCAGGCAGAGATTGTAGCAAGCCTGGACTGCAGTGCCAGAAACGATGGCTGCAGCGACACCCTTGACCCAGATGCTGTGAGTGCATGACAGCAATGTCATATTGCTCCCCGCCCTGATCCAGGGTGGCGAACTCTCTGGAGCAGCCCAAGGACATTATCTCGGCGGCAAAATTAGGTCATGAAAGGAAAGGAATTCTTTTTTTTTATTTGTGGTCTTATTTTAAATAGCAAGTGAATCTAACATTCATTAAGTAATTACAGCCAATAGAACATCTAGACCTCCAGGCCGCTCTTAACCTCTGCAAACCTCTGTTTGTTCTTCCTGAAGTATTGCAACCTATCCTGTTTTGATTTTTAAAAATAGACCAGCTCTAGTATCATTGCTACTGAAAAGGTAAAGGGAACAGTAACTTGCACTGCTCCTAAGTCTTTCTTAGTCACAGTGAGTTTTTGCTTCTTAATATTAAAATTCCAAGGAGTCAGATGCCTTGACATGCTTTTTTTTTTCACCTACCCCACCCATTTTGACCTCCACTAAAAAGTAGCAGGTCAGACATAATTACACGACTGTGCCATGTAACAGATTTGGAAGCAGAGTAGAAGTGTTGACTGTGATTGGAACTGAGCAATTAATTTTCAGGCCACCTTGTGAAGTAGCAAATACATTGGTGTTAACTAGGTGGTAAGTTACAGCTAGGGAAATTGTCCTGGGAGCTTTTAGCAATTGGGTCAGTCTCAGTTTTGCTGCTTACTCCAGAGGCCTGCTGGTGTGCTGCACTGCCTTCTAGCATTCCTCAGCTGCGGTGCTTATGGAAGGGAGGAGTGCCTTCCACTGCATTGCTGGCTGTGCCATTTGCAGCTCCAGGTAGTCCATTCATTGTTGGCCAGATAGGAATACAGTGCAAGATGGGAACTCTGCTCTGTATTTCAGCCAGGCCACTGGGCTTTGTAGACAGTCACGGCTTCAGACAGCATAATGGAAACAGAAAATTAAATGGCTGTGATCTGAGTGCTAAAAAAACCTTACTTTCCTGCCCCATGTGTAAAGTTGAAGGTTTTTTGTGCAGCTGAAGCTGTAGCATTTAGTCAGTGTCTTGAAACAAACAGATGAGCATCCCAGCTTTTCCATTATCAGCTTCCAAAACTCCTCTGTTGCCATTGAATAACTGACTGGTTTACCACCGCCCTGAAAAAGGGGTAGAATTGCCCAGATGGGCATCAGGGATGGTGTTTGTATCTGTTCCAGCCATGTAACGGGCTTCAGTCACTTCTCAGTTTGTAACTTCCTGCTGTCAGATTTACCATCCGCATGCCCACAGCAACCAAAGCTGCTTCAGCTTTCCCTGCAGTCAGTAGATTAAAGGAAGATTTGAACAGTGGGATCTTCTAGTGCAGTAATTTAGAGATGCTTAATATTTAAGAAGAAAATACTGTGAGCAATCAAAAGAATCAGTCTGCACAGTTTTCCATGAAGATTTGGGCTTTCTGTATTCTCTTGACCTCTACCAGTTTTCAGAATTATTTTCCTTTTAATTTACTAACAGTTTTAACAAATGAAACAAATTACTCCCGAATTCCTTCAGCTGTTACGTATCCTTCTGGTGTGTGAGAAGGATTTTGGTTACTTTAGTCAAAGGTCTCTGAATGTATTTGGTACATCTGCTTTCATTGTGTTATGGAATGAAGAGCCTTTAAGGATGTCGATGTTGCAGGTGATCCTGGAGACCTCCAGGTGCATGTGGCACCACCGGTTTGTTTCTAATACTTCTGCTTTGAGAATGTTAATGCTGCATTTCAGCAGGGTCAACTTTATATTTTGCAAGGTGGGAAAGAATCCTGTTGCCCTGGGAAAGCCCACTTCATGCAGAAATTACAAGATTGCTGCAGTACAGCAACGCCCCACATTGTTGAAAATGTTTTTTCTTGGGTAATTTTAAATAAATGGGAATTTTTTTTAAGGAAAAGGGTAACTCGACATGCTTTTAATGGTTGGAAAAGGAAATAATTGGATTTCCTTCCAAATGCAGAGATACATTATCCAGAGAGCAACTCTGAGAAATAAAGATTACATTTGCTTGTTTGAAAAGGCAAGTGTTTTAACTCATGTCTAACTCAGCTTTCATTGTGAGTTTTTTGATACTAAATTAACTGTACTTTATTTTTCTGGTTTTTAGCAACTTCGATCTCAAGCTCGTGCACTGATAACGTTTGCTGGAATGATCCCTTACAGAACATCGGGAGACACGAATGCAAGACTGGTTCAAATGGAGGTCCTTATGAATTAGCAGAGAAGCTTTCGCTTAGGGTTGTAGCAACCTGTGCCTGTCTTTAGTATGTTCAGAGGGTGGGACCAGTATTGTTTTGTATTCTGTATTTTTGTTGATGGAAATAAATTTCTTTGATTTCTATTTGTTTTTGACATTTTCATTTTCACTGTTTTTTGTGGTTTTATGTTTTTATTAATTTTATTTTAAATTGGTTTATATTTAGAAAATTGCTCTTAATTAGTTAATGGCCTATGCAGAGAAAGAAGTTATAGATCTGCAGTAGGGAGGTGAACAAGCAACTTCATAGCAGAAGAGGAAATGGAGAAGAAAACTTTGATTTAATGCTTGCTAAACCTACAGCTTGGGAATTTTAGGGTTTTTTGTTTTTTGAATGCATGTTAAATGTTGAAAATCTGTTTATGATACACCACACAGGTGACACACTGCTGTCAGTCCATAACATTGTTTTGTGTGGCGTATCTGTTTATGCAGTGCAAATGAGCTCTGTGTGCTGCAGAGATTCCTTTACACTTAAAGTTTAAACTCTTGGGTCAGTGTCTCAGATGTACAGAGCTCTGCAAATCCTGGAGCTCTGCTGACGCTTTTGCAGGAACAGCTGGGATTGGAAACAGGTATATTTTGGTAGGAGAGATTTTTGTTATAGACATGTGAGTTTTTAGCCGGTTGCATTCAAAATGATCCCATAGTGAGTTCACCAGGAGAAGTCCAAGTGCGGATGCATTGGGCATGGGTGGATATTACTGTTGGTTTAGTGAGAAACCCAAGTCCCATTGAAGCAAGGGACATTGAAAAATGGTTAGCTTTTAAATGTTTTGAGCTACAATTAAATCAGTGTGAAAGCCCAGGGAGCTTGTTATACTATAAGCTTTTCTCTTTAATATAGCTGCCTATCTTTGAAACAAAATGGGAAGACTATTGGTGGTTACTCTTATTGCTCCCCGTGTACACGCCTTTCTGCACTGCTGCTGTCTTGCCTTCATGCCACTTGTGTTACTGGGATATGAGAACACGTGTGGTTCTGGATACAGAACAGGCAATAAAATGTAGGGGCTGATTTCAACCTTTGCATGTTAATAGCTATCATGGGAGAAGATTAATCTCTATTTTGCAATGTCTAAGTTTTAATGGCATAGAGGGATCTTTGAGTGACTTGATGACAATTTCCTAATTACTTTTTCCACCAGAAACGTTGTAACATAAATTTTGTCAAACTTTTGGACAGGAAGCAAAGGGATGGCTTGCCAAGCCACCCAAACCCATGTTTCTCAGCATTAGCAAACTGGCTGCTGGGGCTCCCGGCCAGTATAGCTAGGGATTATGTGTGGCACTGAGTGGTCCTATAGCATGTTCAAGATTGCTTCAGCTGAAGGCTGAAAGAGACCTGGAAGACACCCTGCAAGTAAAGGAGCTTTGGTGAGTTACCAAGGAGTTGGGGGGGGGGGGGGGGGTAGTGGGG